CTGAAAGTTAAAAGATCTTTAATTTTTATTTATTTATTACAATAATTAATGAAACTTATACATAAAAAAATTATTATTGATAAAAGAAAGCAACACCAGGCTTTCATATTTAAACGATTAACATTGCTGCAGTTAAAGCAACATTTGAAAAATACTTTTAAAAGTGTTTACTTTAGGTAGATTAATTACACCATGCGCTTATTTATTTCAAAGGTTTGCAACACGGTTTTTGAAAAAGTGCTGACGCTCTAGGTAACATTTGATTAGTTGGAATTTCAGAAAGGTCATTTTTAATTAACTGTATGCCGAGTTTGATGAGAAAGCGTACACACACCAACCTTTTTAACTACGATTTTTGCAGCAGCGGTTCTTTGTGTGTTATTAAAAACTTAAGCTTTTTTCCAGTTAATTTAGCAGTTTGTTTTTATCCAAGGTTATAAATGTGTATTTTTGCATAGTTTTCTGAAACGAGCTGAACCAAGGAAAATAAATCGATATCACTTATAGCTGAGTCAAACATAGGAGGAGCTAGTTCAGTGCATGTTATAGAGAAATCCACTAAACTTAAAACAGCATTTGAAATTGCATTTTAAATTTCTATTTTTTATTTGGAAGGTGGCCATCTATTAAAGCAAGCAGACTTTGAAAAAACTATTTAATTTTTTTACATATAATAATAACACTTATGGTTGGTTTAATCAAGCCTCTTCTGTCTTAGAATTTAATAGAGGAGGGAAAATTATCTACATTAAATGCTGACATTTAATGCAGATAATTTTTTTCATGTCGTTTTAGCTATGTATCCAGCAATATATAAGATTTTTTGAATTCAAATAGAATGCTGCAATTTGGAATATCTGCATAATCGTGGTCATTATTACCACGGTTATGCAGATATTTTTGGTCATTATTATTATATGAGCAAAAGAACTGTCGAAAACTTTTTTATATATGATTGTTATCTCTGATGCTGAATTTTCCATTTGAACAATGGACGCTACTTCGCATCAAGAGTTGTCTGTGAATTTTTGGTAATTCACAGCCACTTATAAACAACTCTTGATGCGAAGCTGTGAGATTCTTGCAGATCTCACAGCTCCAATAAAGAGCTTGTTAGATGGTTTCGACTGAGCTTATATGTTAAACAATTTTTTGGTGAACCTTCTTTTTCTACTAAGTCAAGAAATATATCTTAAACAGATTTAATTACTACCAAATATCCAATGAAACCAGTTTTTAGACTAGACAAGATCATAAAAATTTATAAAATTATTTATCTGCAACATGCAGTTCATTAATAAAAGTCAGCAAATCATAATTTACAACCATAATACTTAACTGCAGGTAAACAGTATATATAACTTTAGTTAAAGAGATATTTCAAAGAGGTAATGTTTTGAATATTTCTCTATATTGAAGATTTAGTTAATACATTTTTTTTAAACATATTGTTTTTTTACATAAAATTTGCATCCTTTTTTTTTTTTTTTCACTGTTTACATAACATAAGAATTTTACAGGTTCTACTACATGATATAAAATTTAACAAAATAAGTAAAACAGATAGGGACTCAAAGAAAATGAGGATGACAGATTATCATCACAATCTTTTCATAGAACCCCTTTAACAAGATTTAATTAAAATATCGTAATATGACATACAAAATAAAAATTTTAATAAAATATCATAACAAAATGCGCAATCCGCAAATAAAATTTCTCAAGCAACAAACAAAAGTAGAAACAAAACAAAAACGTATTTAAGAGAATTTATCCAAAGCATTATTAAAAAAAATGTTTCACAGGTTTTAAAGATTTCTATTTTTGTTAAAAACTTGAATGAACTTAACGAACTCACCGTACCTTTGAACCCTTTCTGAAAAATATTCAATACTTTTGCACCTCTATATAAAATGCTGTATTCTGAATATTTATTTATTATCCTAGGTAGTTTATATGTGTTCAACATATTCGCTCTAAGATTATAGTTATCATTTTTATTTAACTCAAACTTATTATTAAAGCTTATAGGAGAGATATTGTGATTGTAACTATACATGAAAATTAAATGCTGGAAGATATTTATTTCAAATACATTCATCATTTTCATATCTTTCATCAAGGGATTAGCGTGTTCCCACCTATTTTTAGAGTAAATGATTCTACAGGCATGTTTCTGAAAACTATAAAGTTTCTTAAGCTTTGCTGTTTGAGTACTTTCCCATGAAATGTTTGCATAGCTGATGAGGCTGTGAATTAGCCCAAAGTAGATTAATTTAAGACTATTTGTATTAATGTACGAGCGAACTCGAAACATTAAACCTATGATTTTGGTAATTTTTGACTGGATGTATATATTATATGAGGAAGCCAGGATAATTTTTCATCAACAACGATTCCCAAGAATCTTATATTGGATTGCTTTTTAATTAATTTATCATTTATAAATAGGTTCGGCAACTTGTGAGGAAGATTTTCTTCTTGTGTTTTGTTATGAAAAAATATATAGTTTGTTTTCTCGGTATTAAGTGCCTTAAACCAGTTGTTTACTTTATTTAGTTCAATATTCATGTCCGCATATAATTTCTTGATATCGTTGTTGGTAAGAAATAAATTCGTGTCATCTGCAAACACGACTGAACTAAGTTTTAAGGATGCATTACAGAAGTCATTTAATAAATATTAAAAAAAGAAATGGACCAAGAATTGATCCTTGCGGAACTCCATATACGACATTTAACACTCAAGATTGGGCATTATTTACATATTGTTTTCTGTTTGTAAGATAGCTTTTAATCCAGTAATAAGTTTTATTAATTATTCTGTAATGTCTTAATTTATCTTAGAGAATACATTGGTCCACTGTATCAAATGCTTTTGATAAATCAAGAAATACTCCTAAAGTAAATTTATTTTTTTTAAACCATTAGTTATTTGATTTACTATTTCAATAATTGCATGGTCAGTAGAGAGATTTTTTTGAAAACCAAACTGATTTGGGTAAAAAAAAAATGTTTTTAATGAAGTAATCATAGATTCTATTATAAACTACACGTTCGAATAGTTTTGAAAATACAGAAAGTACTGATATAGGCCTGTAGTTTGTAATGTCAGAATGATCATTATATTTGTACAACGGAGTTACTTTTGCTAATTTAAGTACATCCGGAAATATCCCAGAATTTAACGAAAATTTTAGTATATGTATTAGAGGTCTTTAAAGAATGTGTTTGTTTGCAATAACTATATTACTAGATATCTCATCAAATCCCAGAGCCTTTTTATTTTTAACGAGGAAAAAGCTGCCTCAAATTCCTCATAAGTTAATTCATAATCAAGCATAATACATTGTTCGTTGATTTAAGGAAGTTTTTAAATGATACAGATGTTGGTACTATTTTTTTTTACAAGATTTGGACCAATACTTGTAAAATATTTATTGAATTCTTCCAAAATTTGTTTTTGACTAAATATATCGTTGTTTTCAATAACAATTCGTTTAGGTAGAGAAGGTGAATTTAGTTTTTCTCTTCCCATTATGAAATTGATGATGGACCATGTTTTTTGCAATCAAATTTGCATTTGGTAATTTGATTACTGTAATTTTTTTTTTTTTTTTTTGCATTTTTAATGAGATCTTGGTAAAAATATTTATAATTTTTGTAATTTTTTTCATTATCATTGTTTTTTCATTATCATTATCAGGTTTCATTAAAATACCCCAAAAATGTACTTAAAAAAGTATTGTAAGCTCCATTCGTATCTTGACATTTATATACGTTGTTCCATGTTTCTTGTTTTAGTCTATTTGTTAATTTATTAGTGTAACTCATTTTTAAATTTCGGTTTTTCAAATGTATGATTTGTGAATGACAATCAGTCATAGCTTTTAGATTTTTTGTTTTTATAAATATCGGGAAATGATCACTAATATCTGTCATAAATATACCGGTTTCATATGTCGTTTCTAAATAATTATTAATAAAAATATTGTCTATTGCTGTTGCCGAGGTTTTCGTTACTCGCGTTGGTTTATTAATAGTTGACAAGACATTCAATTTAAAAAGCATATTAAAAAAAGATTTTATTTTTGGAAATTTTGTGTTAGAAAGAGCATCAAGTTTTATGTCACCAGTAATATATAATGTTTTATTTTCTTTATTTATTTTGATAATCGTATTTATGATAAAAGTTTCGAATTTTTTTATTTTTCCACTCGGTGGACGATAAACACAACCAACTAAAACGTTTCGGTATTTTTTATTAATAATTTCAATGAAAAGACTTTCATAATTATTATTAGAAAAGGATAATATGTTTTTTATACTTTTCCAAGACATACATTCCTCCTCCTTTTTTCCCACCACCTCGTGGTTGAATAATTAGTTTGTAAAATGATAAAGTATAATTAGAATTTAATTCAAGAGTACTTTCTGTATCATACCAAGTCTCCGAAAGAGATATGACGTCGAGCGTGTAATTTAAAATATTTAAAAATTCTTAAAGTTTATCAAAATTTTGCTGCATGCTTCTAATGTTTATGTGTAATACAGAAAATGAACCAACATCTGTTTTTACTTTAGATTCAAAAGGATCAATATACGGTGTGTTAATTAAGTTGATTTAAGTTTCTTGAAAAATATTTATGTTTTCTTCAGATAGATTATTCATAAAGTTGTCCTCAAATTGTATTGAGTGATTGTCCTTTAAATTATAAAAAATTATTATTTACTTTTCATTTGTGTTAAAATTTGTTATAAATAACTATAATTCAAGACCTATTTTTTTTTACCAGTATAAGTGACACTTCAAATAATTTATGCAATAATAGCATTCAAGTATAATATAGTTCTAGAAGGAACCCCTGAGTTTTTTGTCATGCAGCATTTATAAAAATTGGTATCTTGCTACAAAAAATATAGAATATAAAATTATAGGTAGACATGATAGCTGATTATCATGCTGCTATGCTATTAACCTTCTAACATACAGCATTGGGT